ATACATTATACGAAGTTATACGAAGAGAGAGAGAGAGAGAGAGAGAGAGAGAGAGTGAGAGAGAGAGTGAGAGAGGGGAGTGAGGAGAGAAAAATAGAGAGACGAAGTGAAGGATTCGAAATACCGAGATCGGCTCGGTGAGGAACGAGAAGCGGAGCGTCGACGGTGTCGCGACGCCCGGCGATGAGACACGACGACAACGACCATCGATTTCGCTACGACCACTACTTGGCATTTCCTACGTTTACATTCTCGCTATATCTCGAAGATAGGGCACGGCCCGCTTCCTCTTCCGCATTCGAATCGCCGAGATCGATTTTGATTCTGCTTTCACGGCGAGATGAAATGTAAAATCTTGTCAAAAGAAAAGAATACATAAAACGTATTTATAATATCACATCGAAGGAAATTAAAAGCGCAATAAATTTTCAGAATTCTTTGTCAGTAATTTGGTCTAATTTAATCTTTATATTATAATTTAAAATGGAATTCCTTAGTGCAGTCTTAGCTCCCGAAGTATGCAAGAGCTTTAATCAATTCGTGTAAATATTAAAAATTTTAAGAAAGCATTAAATTTGTTGGGTTTTTCGTAGCAATCGTGTTTTTATATTTAATACGATTAAATAAACTTTCGAATAAAAACAGCCTTGGCTCAAAAAGAGATCTTTTTCGATAGCTTAAGTATATAAGTCAATTTTCAAATATGTTCTTGAGAGTATGATTAGATTTATACAACTATAAACAGCTGTATACATTCGGAGTAGACCTTAATGTTAAATTAATGTAGCTGAATGCATTCTGGGCGATTTGGATGCGATTAGGGTAGCGCGACGCGATAAGATAAACTAGAGACCCGTTGTGCAGCTCGAAGACGAAGGTAGGTAACTCCTTTTGAGATTCGAAGGAAGCGTGCATCAGTGGGTCTAGACTACGGCTAAGTAGTTAGGAGGGACCGTGATATCGGACGTACGTGTATTCACTTAAATCATCCTAAAAGGCTATAGAAGACTACTCTTGAAAAGTGAGGACACGACCACGTTTTAGGCGAGACGATAATATTATTTCGCCGGAGGTCAAATCGAGAACTCTCGGAGCACGCGATTAAAATAATAGACAGCGTGTTATATCGATAATATCGCAAAACAGTTATACGAAGTATGCCAAACTTGCAGCCATATTTGAAGTAGTGAGAATTTAATTAAAAATCTTTTTCATAATTCTAAGTTTATACTAAGCAATCTTAATTTTTGCGCGTGAAGCTTGCTTGCGAACAATCGATAAATTTTTCTGTATCGATAACATTTTATTGCGCTTTACCTGTCGTGCAAGCAGATATATTGGTCGCGTTTTGCGGCTTCAAAATACTTGAAAAGCTTGAGAATTTCGGCCATAAATGGCTCAAGCATTGAAAGGTATCGAATATCCGTGATTCGCCGTCTTAACAAGTTCCGCGTTCATAGATCGGCTTCCTGTCGACATTGACTGAGAGCGTCATAAACCGACAGTCATGAATCTTAAGAGCCAGGAAGCCGAGCGAGAAGTCGTCGTTTCTGGGCTCGGCGCCGGAAATTCCGTTGCTGAATTTTAGGAGCCGCGGCGTCGTAAAACGGAAGCGAGGTTTCTCGCCAAATAAAATGGGAAGAGCTATCGAACAAAGCGCTATATTTTTCCAGAGAAATATTCCTTGGCTGCGGAAAGATGCTGCGAAATTTTTACAATGTCTCAATTCCGGCCAGACTTAGGATCTGAATTTACATTTTACGTCTGCGAGCGTTCTCGGCGTAATCCCTCCGGCGTAATTTGGCGCTATCGAAAACAATCTAGCTACGACGGGTTGTCCGTGCTAGATCTAAGGACTAGATTGGCTAAAAGAAGCGTCTGACGAGTGCTAATCTAACGATTTACAACATCAACGAGGATCGCGCAAAATTTCATCTACTTGCGAAGCGTATTATCGTGTATGTCGCGTATATGTGTGTGTGTGTGTGTGTGTGTGTGCGAGTGTATATGTATGGATTTTATACACCATATATATACGTATGTACATGCAGTGGTACGCTATCTTATCAATTTTCTACTTGATTTTCGCAATTCAAGTAATGCGTATAATGCGATAACGAACATGATTCTGCTACGCACAATGGCAAGTATCTATCAGCACAATAAACTCTCGTTAGAGCGAATTCGAAGGAACTCGAAACTATGTAGTAGTAGTAGTAGTTTGTGGCAGAGTAGGATTTGTGACGAAGAAGAATTTGAGCTAACGAGAGTCTACTATACTAGGAGGATTATAAACTTACAGAATTATTCCTTTTTCCAGCAATTTAGCATTTTCATTGCAACGTCGATTAGCATTTTATAAAAACTGCTGAAAGAAGCGGGGAAATTTTTTCTCACCGTCTTGAATTGCGAAATAACACTAAACCCTGTAACATGTAACTCCACTCGAACGGGAGGAATCCGACTGGATTCGATTGCCTGATTCGAGAAAAGCGTCGACGCGTCGGCAATGCTAACGCAAAGAAAAACTAAAGCAGCGAGCTACGCGGTTTTTTTTCTATTTAATCCTTTCAGTATCCTTGTGCCAATGTTGCACGACAGTTTTCGCCTACTTGCCTTCATTAACAATTAAACTTTATTAATTATCTAAATTGCAATTTATTAAGAATTTAGAAAACTTGAAGATTAATGATGGACCTCACGAATCTTGTGCGAAATGATGCTCGTTAAATCTTGGAAAGTTGTTTAAATATATTATTTGACTTTTGTGTCGCGCAATATAATCTTTAAATTTTACTCGTAAAGATTCACAGATCATTGATTCCACATTTATCAATGAGAATTTTAGAAAAATTGAAGGCAACAGTAATAAAAAGCTATTTTCAAAATATCTGCTTAAGTTTACGATACTGAAAGAATTAATTGGACGAATTACTGACGTTGCTTGATGAAGCAATTATCATTATTATTGATAAAGCATTATTGAGGGAAATAATGTGGAATAGCGTTCTAGAATTTTGCCCAACGCACGAAAATACATCTTCATCTTAATAGTTGAACGCAAACTCTTAACACAACGGCGTATCCTAATATAAAAATGCGAACGATTTAACTTCTTTGCGTCCTATTGCACATAGTATTTATTTGGCATTAAGTAATTCCTTGAGCAAAAGCGGAAGGTACTAGATTCTCATCGAGGACTATAAAGGGGGTTACGATGAGTTTATTACAGTAGAATTTTCGACCGCTCGTTCGCTATTTATCGATTTCTCATAAAGCTGACATAATGAATTCAAGACGAGTCTTGAATTCATACAAATACTTCCGCTATTAATACACAGAAACGAATCGTGACGCAATAATATCACCGAATGACTCACGAAAAAGCCAAGTAACAATAAAAATCACATTATTTAGCGAATAAATTATTTAAACACGACATTGAGACTTAACATTATTTACTAACACAGACCAATTATTTTATGTTCATAAAATATAATATAGACTCGTCAAATCTAATTTTACACGACAAATTTTTCTCATTAATAGAGACTCTTGTTTTTTTTGTTTTTTTTTTGTTTTTTTTTAACTCGCCGGAGCTATTTCCCGTGCCCGAACGAACGATCGGCGATCACTGACTTAGGTCTCATCGGAATTCATCGTGACTGGTTCGAGCGACTTTCTACTCTTTAGCAAAAATAAGTATCGTGTTACACATTACAACATACCGGTTCACGATGATTCCGTGGTAAGGTAATGTACGATAAGAGAGGTCTCTCGCGCTTTGTGTCGTGTATGTCCGGCGTCAGTGCAGCGAAGCTCCCTCTTCCTCTCGCGGGTTTTTCTTCCTTCCTTGAGCGACGTCCGTCGGCGCTGGCTCAAAGAAAGGGGCGCGTAACAAGCTTTGAAATACCTTGTAAGCCGGCTACACGCTACAGCTATATACTGCCTATAAAGCCTGAACCAGCGGCGAAACGATATTTATAACTGGCGTTCTGACACGGGCCCCATATGAAATTTTCCTCCATAGCGAACTGTTAAACTTGAAATGCAATAGACGTTCATCGACAGAATCAATCAGCCTTTTCTACGTACAGATAGATTTATACCTTTGAATTATTAATTTTTCAGTCATTTATTAATTTTTATATGTATCGCATTTTGTGGAAATAACCTACATTCGAGAATTAAAAGGCATTTGAAATTTTTGTATATTGTAAAATGGATGTAAAGAAATTTATGGCAGTAACGCAGATTTGTGGAGATTATAAAAAGCTAATGGACATTATAAAAAAGTTCCACTCATGTTAGCATTAAGTAATGCCGTTGAGTAAAAGCAGAAGGTATTAGATTCCGTTGAGAAATTCATCTCAACGGAGATTATAAAAAATTTGATAAAAATCTCGCAAAGATACATCATAAAATGTTTTAAGAATTTACTGCAGCTTTATATCTGTATGAACACATTGCAGTTGAACTGAAGGGTGCAGAATGTCAGGTAATGCCGTTTTAGAAAGTTACGAGTTTTAGCAACGTTGCAAAATACTAAAAGATGTTTTAGTCTCTCTTTCTCTCGATAAACTGTAGATTTCTTTTAAACGATCCTTACGCTCTTTCGGCTAACCGCGAAATGGAGTTGGAAACATCGTTTCGCCCGGTACGGGCTTTCCACCGTGCGCGTTCTCGCGCTCTGACTCGTAGTAATTGTCAGGTACAGTGCTCGTCAACGATGGCTTTTTGTATTGGCACATAAATTGTCTATCCTAGGCAGTTGATTTGCCGTGAATTGATCGAGAAAAAGCCTTAGTCGCTAATCACTTATTTAATTGTAATCTCGACGAGGCGGCGGCGGCCATCGATGCGTCGATCGATGAGAAGCAGTGTACCTTGCGGGTTGAAGAAGTGTGTATGTGTGTGTGTATTTGCGCTGCGATATCTTGGCTTATCGCCGGCAGAAAGTTGCGAGTGACTTACGTGCTAGTACTTTGGTAAAACAGGTTTTCGCATCCTCTCGATCAAACGTCGCAACCTTTTGTATACGTTTCTTCGTTTACAGCGTCGCTCGCCGACTTCCATTAAGAGCTAATTAATTCAATCTAAATTAAGGACTATCTTTGGACGTTTGGCTCTGTCGCACTCAGGGCCGCCACTCGGCTTTGGTATTTCGTTTCTCCGCGATAATAACGATCTTTCGGCCTTCCTTCTTACCTTCTCGAAGTCCGTTTCTATCGTTTCCAGGTCGCCGTCAGGTCTCGTTCGATCTCGAACTCGATTACGCGCGGACTCGGCGTATCTTGAGAGAGAACTCGAGGTAACAGAGATATCGTGCAATCTATTAGACCGCTAATTAAGCTTCAACGCAAGCAGCAATGTGGAAGAAAAAAATTACACAAGTTAATATCTTATGTTACGATCTTCGAAGATTTAATTGCTCTTTCTCTTTCCGCGATATTCATTAAAAATTTATTTTGTAGAAAATCTAGTAAAAAGAATATTTATCCAGCGAGAATTAAAGTTTTTCCACATTCTCTTTTTCTCATAATATACTCTATCTTGATTTCTACTTCCACCTACCATCTCTGTGATCTTTTATTACCGCGAACTAATGTTGATTCTGCGCGAAAATTACAGCCCTTGCCTTCGTACTCCATCTTGATTATCTCTCATCTTTATGATCATCTTTTACAAGAGAAATGTAGATAACGTTCCGATGGCTGCCTTTTGCCTTCCTTTTTACATCTTATTCCTTCTCGTATTCCTTTGCACACTTGTACCCTTCATCTTTGCATACTCATTTTTATTCTTTACAACATTGCTGTTACGCAACTTGTTCCATGCGTGCGTTATATTTTTTTTCTACTTTTATAAAATGATTGCTGCTTTTAGAAATAAATAAGGAATTTAACGGGCGTCTCTCAGCGGTCTAATGTTATACACGGATGTTTCTAGATAGTTCTCGGCCATGAAGAATTGGCGATGGAACATTTTGCAATTTATCGCATCGAGGCGTTCTCGTCAAGCTAATTTGCCAGGAGCTTCGGGATTTCCGGGAATTCGCGACCGACCTTGCTGTGCTGAAGAGCGACTCCTTCCCAGCATCCATCGGCGAATGCACTCCCCCGCGCGGCACATGCACATGTGAACGCACGCGGAAGTGCATCTCCCTTCTCCCGGCGGCCCTTTGCCCCCAACTACGTGTAATGCTCGCAGTCCCCACACTCGGAGAGCGTGGGTGTGGACGGACACTAGGTGGGATTCGGGTCCTCGTACGCCTTCTCGTAGTCCCGTCGCCGTATCACCGCGAAGTGGGTCATCTGGAAGGAGTTGGTCTTCTTGCAGCCGCGCTCCAGCGTGCCCGTCATACTGTAGCCCATGTTGAAGTCGCTCGACGAGACGTTCGACGTCAGGTACAGCTGTAACAGGGCAGCAAGCAGATCGATACGATGCGTTGACTCTCGCGCACACACGCAGCACTCCTGTGGTCTTGTTTATTGCGTTCTCGCACTGCTTGTAAATTGTGAATCATAAATTACAAAGATGTAAATTGTGAAAGGAATGCATATCAGAGCATAACAATAACAAGCTGACGGTGTTGCAAAAATTTTTAAACAAACAAAGGAAAGAATTATTTTAACTGTGCTTTCGCACTCGTGCCACCTTCCCTTTGTCCACTTTTCTTCAAAATGAGTATATTTGCCTCATTTTTACACGCGCAGAAAGACGTAGTTAAAAGCAGAAGCATTTGTTCGCTTAAATCTTTCTCAGGCGGACTGCTTGTAACTAAAAGTTAACCAGCGGGGGAAAGAAACTGCGTCTGCGTTAATTAAAACGTCCTGGAACTTTCGGTAATTTACATTTAAAAATTGCAAATTCTTGTAATTGGAACTACAACAACTTGAAAATAGAGACTCGGAAATTTTTAAAACTGGAAATAATATCTGGGACGCAATCTAATGAACTCCTGTGGGAGGTTATTAAAACACTAGACAAGCTCGCGCCCGCCGATTTAGAGCAGCCCGGTGTTCATTATGTAGGTTGGTTCTCCATCAAAATTGCAGCACGCGCGACAGTTATGGCTAACTCTTGGTGCGCTCGGATACGTGTTGCTGTCCTGACAGCGGCAGCTGGGCTGGCTAACAACCTACTGGTATACATTCTGATACGCGGGTGCATTCGGCGGCGGAGTATAAGAGCTGCTTGTACACGCTGCAGCTTTCGCGTTTTAGTGTCGTCATAAAATCTCACGGCAACTATATGACTCCCTCGTCGACGGCGCGTAGCGGCATCCCACTTTTAGCATTTCGTACGTGGCGGTCCGGATCTCGTTTCTGCGGAAAAACTCTGTTCGCGACGTGACTCTTCTCCCGCCGGCTCGATAAACGTCGCGAAAACGCGTCGCGACGTCCCCGAGGCGTGCCACGAACGTGCGCGTCGACGCCTTTTGTCGGCCGACAGTTATTCCCCTTTGAGATTCCGAGTACATTTCAAATCTCTGCATTTAATTCTTTATAGAACTTTAATCAATTGTCAAGCGAGAGAAAATAATACGCGTTTCAATATGAGTTTATCGTAGTGTGACAGCAATTGCGACAGATGCGACGTATCTCTCGACAAAAAAAAAAATTAACCATTGTTACATCGTATCGTAGAATTGTAGGTATTTTTCAACAGAATTTACTGATGTGTAACGAGCGAATATGACATAATAGTTGCCAGTGATAAATTTGATAACCATTATTTCGCGTGTTTGACGAATATGAAATTTATCATCCAGAAATACCGCGGCGTCACGCTCGCGTGTTTTCTCCGTTTTGCGCCCAACTACGGGTATATATATTTTTTTTTTTCACAAGTGTCGAATGATCTTGTTAATTCGTGTAGCGTCACCGGAACCGGGGTATCCGATTCTTTAATTTGTTTAATTTGTTTGCAGCGAACGCGCGACCTGTTTTCCTAGCTGCGGAAATACACACGGCGAAAGCTCGCGTTACAATGCGCGGCGATATGAAGTTTTCCGCGTTGCTGTATTTATTTAATTATCGCCGCGCCGCGTTGCGTTTCCGGCTCTCGCGATATAGGCGTTTAAAAGTTGCACGCGCGCATTTCCACTGCGATATTTACGCGAAGATGAGAATGATGGCGAATGTGTCGCTCGCGCAAGCAAAAGTATCACGGAGGCAAAGTTACTCGTAATCCGAACAATCTGCAGATTAGCCGGAGCAGAGTGCGAGCTTCCGATAAAATGCTTGGCGCATCGTTTGGAAGAGAGTCGTGCACAAGCTCGACGTTCTTTCAGCGAAGTAAAAAATAATTTATGCGAGATAAAATGTAATTTGAATGAAATAAGTTTTGTTTTTCATGATAAGAATTATATTATGTTTATTGATTGACATAAATAGAGTGAAAGAAGAGGACAAATTTTAATGAAAAAGAAAATTTATAATTATACCAGTGATTTATTGTTATTGTGTTATATTATTGGTGATTCTAAACAATGTTGAGTCAAGGCGAGGTGCGAGTATGGGAAAATGTAGCGCAGTGTAGCCGTTGAAAAGGTTAAAGGTTACTTCTCTATTAGCCACGATAAGCGACGAGCTTGTTAATAATTAGTAGAAGCTACCAATTAACAGCCCATGTTCGCGCATGTTATCACAAAAGAACTTGTACAATTTGTTATCCTTTGCATTATTCGAAATTTCATGAGCAACAAGTTAAATAGTGGCACATTTTTTAAGATAAGATAATTTTTTGACCAATAAATTAGGAATAAAAAAATTAAGTTAAAAATTGCAGGTAAGAATAAGCTTAGAGTTGAGATAGTTTTTATCAATCGAATTACACAATTCAGTACCTTGAAGTCAGGATCGGTCGTCATCCTCTTAAACGAGCCGATGATATAAAGCGTGCCTGTTCCCGTGTCAACCATCTTTGCCTGAGTACTGTACCTGCGACAATCACAACCACAATTGCGAATTAAAATCCTATGACAGTTTACAAGTTTACGATACGACACTTTCGTTACGGAATGATCAATTCGAAGTGAGAAAAAGTTTATAGTCACGAAAAAGGACGATTGATTCCAATACGTCGAGTATGAGGGGAAGAACTATCAATTCGTCATGTTTAGCTCACTCGCTTTCGCATCTTCGACGAAACCCTCGAGATGGATATCGTTCCGAAGCAGTCCCTCGATATTCTTACCCTTCATCCCGAGCTGTACTTAGCGAGGGTGGCGAAGCATTGTGTATGCGAACAAAAAGCGCTCGTAAGGAAGCGATTCTATCGGTTGCTATCCTCTTGTAAAAGTTCGCGAAAGCTGTTTATATTACGTCACTTTTGTGACGCGAAAATGACCGAGAGTTACTTGGCATTTTCTGTTTCACTCTTCTCAAATTTATCGTCTCCGAGTTTTTTCGTGCATATACTTTGTGCCTTAATATATTCCGCCCCCGCAATTATTATGCATAATCGCGAAGGAAATGATTGTTTCCGTCAATTAAAATCGAACGGGAAAGACTTTTGATGTTGATCGAACTTTGGATGTCCGTTGAAGACATTTGAGTGCCATCTTGAGGGTGGCATTGTTGAATTAATTGGCGATGGTCTTTAGCTATGTGTGTGTGCGTGTGGCGCGTCCTTAGATTATACTGTGTGTATGTGTGTGGCGCGTCTTTAGATTATACTGTGATCTTCATCGAAGCGATAAACGAGGGAGAGATCGTAGAGCGAGAGAATAGAGGCATTGAGAGGAAATTCCGCTCGACTAAGGACGGGGGATGTTCTTATTGGGGTGCCCCTATAATGATAAAGAGGAAAGGGAAGAGTACAATAAAGTATATTTCATACTCTAGTAGTGTAGTACTTCTCACAAAATTTTTCGTGAAATTTTTATCAAGAAATTATTTTATAACAATTTTAGTTATTTTAATAAAAAGACACAATATAATTACATTCTTAAACTGATTAATAATATTAATGAAATTAATTCTGTTTCTTTTATTTGCATTTATTTGTGGGAAAATAAATTATCAAAATAAATTAGATATTTCTTCTTACTTCGTTTAAAAATTTGTAGAAATAATATTTTCTAAATTTTATTTGGCACATGAATGACTTTTTATATAAAAGTTTCTAAAAGATTTAGAAGAATTTAAGCTATAAAAAGTATGTATATCTCGATTGAAAAGCCACTTCTTTTAACTCTGATTTAAATAAGTATGTATATTTATATATACACTTGAATCAGATAAGAAAAAGAAAAATAGTCGTCAAGTTAAAAGAGCTATTTGTGAATCTGAAGGCGTTTGAAGAGAAAGGGAGAGAGAAAATTTCCTTGCATAAAGAAAGAAAAAGAGTGGAAAAGAGAAGGAGAGAAAGCAGAATTCACCAACACCCGCACGGTCGACTCGAGGGGCTTATTCCGGCGGAGATGTCGCTCGAGAATCGGCGACGATCATTAAAAGTTTAAACGGCCTCTATTGAAGTGAGCGACGGCGGGATCCAACACTCGGTTCGAAATCCGCCGCGCCGGTTGCTTTGACTTCTCCAGCTCCCCTCTGTCAAGAAGGGGCGCGCAAAGGGAAATCCGAACCGCAGGAGAAAGATACTTGCTAAACGTCACTTGCTGGCATTTATACGGGCGTAGCATACAGTTCGACTACGTGGATGCTTGCGACACGTAGGCACGTTTCGAGCACGTTTCTCGATTCTCGACCTCTCGGTTATGGCGATGCACGATGATATTGACAGTCATGCACAGAGTATCGAATGCCCTTAATATATATGTAATACTTGGGAAGAAATACTGCTTTGAGAAAAATGGAATATCTATAACAAGCGTCTATCGATTGAATGGAAAAATGAGCCGAGCGAGAACGTTAATTAGCAACGTGAATCACGGTGAATTGACAAGCTTACGTGAAATATCGAATAATTATATAATAAGCGTCTAGCAGCTAACAGAGAAAAAAGTAAACTGACGTTATAAAAAATTTGTAATAAGAATACTTTGAAATAAGTATTATTTATTATTTCGAAGAAAAAATAGACCGAATGAGAGATAGAAGCCAATCAGCCACGTCACAAATTTCAGTTAGCGACAATAATTACGGCGATTATTAATGCATAATAATAATTGTTGCATCGATATCTTCGAGATATTAGTTATTTTTCGAACATGTATATAATTCATTATACGTAATAAATTAACGAGCCCACTGCGACATATTTGTCAAATATCTCCGATTGGTTTGAATTTAGTTGCAGTTGACTGTGCCGAACGGAAGGTGGAAGCTCCGATGAAGATAAATGTGCGAGATATTCTCAGCGAACTGACCGGTCAAGCTGTCGCCGCATTTCAACTCGTCGTAAAAGCTTTTGTTGGCCGAGCTACGACGGAGATCGGTATAAAGTATCTTCGAGAATCGAATCGACTTTGGTGTAACTATCCCAATGTTCGGGCATGAGATTGGCAAACTTTTGTTGACCAAGCAGCGATCAGAATAGAGTAACGATCTTCGAGATCCGACTACAATATGACTATCGGTATCTGAACCGTAAAGATTGTTTTGTCGACCCAGCAACGATCGGAATTTGGAAATAATAATCTTTGAAATTCGACTTAGATATAACTATCGGAGCTGCTGTCGATCAAGCAACGATAGAAAATCAGATGAAATGAATTTTTATACAATCATTTTTATATAATCAATTATTTTGAATCAAAAAGAAATATTTGTGTGTATGAGCGTACAGAGTGTCTAAAAAGATTAAGATTTATATGTTCGTATATTTATTAATATTTAAAAAAAAAGAATTTTTATAATTTCTTTGAAGATCTTCGAAATTTTCTTGATTTCCGTTGATTTCGATATAACTGTCTGCGTGTTTCAATCGTGTAGATTTTTGTTGACCAAAAACGGAGACTGGAATAGAACGTCGAGTGTTCTCGATTTTCGAGAACCGAACTGAGTCGAGAGTAAACTCAGCAATCCGTCAAAGGATACGGCCAGGGAGTAATATCGTTTGCATTTGGTATCGTCGTCAAGATAACACGAATTGTACACATGTCCATAGATTGGAGCGTGGGAATTGATTTGTACTGCCAAGAACCGCGTGTTTGCTAAGATGGCAGTCGGTTCCTCGCAGCTAGGAAGATGAGAATACAGGCACTCCGCAGCAGCCGAGGGATATTTAGGCAAGTTCGGCTTGCCTTCGCAAACTCCGTTCGATCCTGCGGAGACGTCTATGCCCAGTGCGCCGCGTTAAGGATGCCCCAGGGCCAATTCTGACCATATATTAATCGCCATGTGACTTGCATGGTTATGATGGAGCTTTTAGCCCCCGAAATCTCTCGATATTTTATCTTGAAAAAAAAATAATCAAACTTCAGGGAACTTATAAATGTTCTTTCGCATGATAATTATCATTTACCAGAATTTATGCAATATTAAATTATCATTGTTACATCATCACGAAAAATATTTTTAGAAAGAAGATATTTCGACGAGTATCTTCTTTATTTTGTTCTTAATGCATATGTGTTAATTAGTAAATATATCAAATTAAAGTGAAAATGGAGGCAAAATCCTAATGTAATGTTTCTGCAGCACTTTTTCGCGAGAGAGAAGAATGCAGGACGATTCCCGCAGGAGTAAACCGTTTGTTGACCGGGCGTCGTAAAATGCGCGATTTTATCGCGCGGCCTGCTCGCCGGCTCGTCTCCACCTCTTCGCGATTTATCATGACTCTCAACATTCGGAGGAAGACAATGGGGGCGCCTTTTCTCGTGCACACGCGCGCGCACACGCGCGATCGAACGGATGGCTATAAATTGTGAGCTTCTTATCGGCCCAACCGCCGACCGGCGACCTTAACGGCGCCGAAATCTATGGACGTCGGAAAGTTAGACGAGACCCAGTTTCCCGAAGTGATACGACCGTCGAAAGGAGAGCCCACCCCCAACCCCGTTATACGGTATTCCGTCTCCGTTCGCTATCGGCTCGCCTCTATCCACTTTATACGCTGTGTTTTCGAGCTCGTTATCTCGACGGGAAATATAACGCGATGCGCATTTCGGATCGCCGGGATTTAGGGCACGTTGTAAGCGCGAGTATCGCACGAATATTACATAATTATCGGGGATCTAAGTGACTTGATGAGAAATAATGATTGAGGCGTATTATTATAACAAATGAGCAGGAATGAGTGGAACACAAGATTTGTTGGATGCAGATATTCTTGCTTTTTTAATAATCAAAATTCAATCTTGCGATACACTTGCAATTCTTCTAACAAATTTTTCGTTTACCTTCTTGTACCAGCGACTTCGACGACTTTGCACCGACTGCGACTCCACCAGAACGGCGTTAGGGTCCAGTAGGAACTACTCGCGCTTCTCGCCCAGCCTTCTTCGGGGAACAGAAGGACCTGCGACATAAACGGTGAGTCGTTTGTTGAATATCTCATCCTTTTAGAATGCGTGCGTGATATTACGCTGAGAAAAAAAAAGTCCTACGATTGAACAAAATTGGCGATATCACTCTTGTTAAAAAAAAATATATATATATATATCAAGTTTAATGAATAAATTATGATGTTCGTCCGTATCGACCGTACTTTCGGTTGAACATATTTACTCAACAAAGCAGCTTTTGTTTCAATGTAGGATAATAGAACGTAGAACATAGAATTGATAGCAAGCTCGCTAGGAAGGCTATAGCATTCTCAAGAAAAGTAGATGGGATCGGAAAAAGGCTTCGTTGAGACTTTTCCGCGCCTTCGACGAGTTCGAGGTTTCCCGGGAAGATTTGTTGGAGCGAGATCCCTCGTGAAAGAAGGAGGACGCCTTCTCTTCGTATCCTCTGCGAAAAAAAAGAAAAACTCTCGACCTTCTCTACCCTTTGCCCTTCCCCCCGCCCCTCCACCGGCAGTCTGGTTTCTGCCCTTCGTGTGGCTTTTCCAAACCTCAACTATGTGACCGAAATATTGAAACCGCGCCGAGCGCCGAAGAAGGAGAAGGCGTATCTTTCTCCCTCGCCTGTGCGGATCCCTAGCACGCGATGCAGACATCCGTCATCCCGAGGATTTTCTATACCGCGAACGTGGATAAATTGCTCTTTAATCGGTACACATCTCTCACGGGAACCGTGCAAGATCGTTGTTGTTCTTCTCTCGCTTGACAGTTTGACAGCGGAAACGCAACGGATGGGTTGCGAGAAATTTTGCTTGTCCGGTTTTACATCGACACAATTGTCAATCTCTCCCAGGCCTTATCGATTTTATCGATTGCGCGAGATATTTTAATCTAAAAAAAAAAATCAAATACGCGAGTAAAAGTTATTTTGCAGCTATAAATGGGTCTATTTGCTCGCCGATTAATATTCGTCCATAACAATCAATTTTTTTATTTTTATATTTTATCATTTTTGCGTTTAAGCAAAAAGAATTGAAAATTGATTATACAACCGAAATGCGTGGGGACTATAAATATTGCATGACATTTTCATCGTCCGCCGATTTAATAACGGCGCGGTTTGCAAAAAATGTTTAAAAATAACATAGTTATTCCAAACAGCTCTTTATAGATAATTCATAAAACAAATATTATTCGCGAAAATGACGCGAAATTCCGCTATTCTGTTACAAGTCCAACAATATTACGTACCGAAGCAAATATTTCGCTTTATCAACATAAACCATTTCCCTTCTTCATTACTATTTCAACGTCTGTAAAGCTCTCTTGGCAACGGTTTCGCCGGCACCCCAGATATTTCGCGATAACCGTGCATTTCCGTCGAAATTACGATACGTCGTAAATTTTCATCCGTCAGCAGGAATGCGCTTTCTTCCCCTCCCCCCGAGTTATGAGTGAGATGCGAAAAGAGAAACACACGGTGGAGTTGAGAAGAAGGATTCGAAGGACTGCTCTCGAATCTTTATCTATCTATCTTTCTCTCTCTCTCTCTCTCTCTCTCTCTCTCTCTCTCTCTCTCGTGTCTCTTCATCTCCCGGCGCGACAGACCTTTTTCGCTCGCGTTACCATTATCGCGAGAAGCTTTTAGGGAGTGAGTTCGCTTCGCCTCAGGGTCATCGGCTTGACCCACGGTGGTTGTACGCTCGTCGCGAGTATATGCATACAAGTAGCATCCACAAATTCTCCCATTGGCCGCGAGCCAACGTGACTCACCGCCTCTAGAAAACCCCCGCGGCTTATGTACTTCGGTGTTCGCTTCGCTTCAGTTCGACGCGATCTTTACCGGCGGATAGACGAGAAACTTTCTCTGTGTGTGCATTTGTTTGTGAAATTCGTCATATTGTTTTTATTTAGTTCTTTTATTTGGATTCGCCGACTTCAGAAAGTTGCGTTTCTCGGCGACGGGGCGTTCTTCGTGAATCAGGAGTATTCTCCAACGGATCAGCGGAACAAGAAAAAGAATTGGAGTTGAAGTTAATAAATCATCTATCATGGCAGCGTTTAATTGGGGTAAGACTCCAACAGCAGCGAGAACTGACGATTTAATTAAAAAAATTTATACATCAAAATATACTATTAACTTTTTTATTTTAAAATAGCTCTATTTTAATTAGAGTTTTATATATTCTACATATAGAATCATTTTATTTATTTATTTTCGGGAATATATCATAAAAAGTAAAATTATTGTTCTAATTTTATAAATAAAAAAGTTTAAAAGACAATCTCGGTAAATGATTATCCTTCTCGTTTTGTTGACATAAAGTCAACTTCGAAGTTCGGAGCGTTTGTCGTGGAGCGTCGATGTGATAGCGACGGGATGTTTTGTGTACGCTCAAACTTCAGAGGAAACCTCAGAAAGCACGACTAAAACGAGAATGGAACCATTATCCCGCCAGGGTAAAAGTCGATTCCCTTCTGCCGGTGAACGCGTGGCGACGCGGCGCGTCGCGTCGCGCGAAGACGACGTCGAGGAGAGGAGATGAAACGTGCGCGAGAAAACAGCCGGCACGAAAGAATCAGAGGGAGTTTGCGACAAGGATGGAGAAAGATCGATATAAGTCGAATAGCACATGCACGACGACGACGACGACGACGACGAGGCACATGCTGGGAAAACATTCGGCGAGAGAGGATTTCCCCGTATTGATTTTCTCTCGAGTCCCCTTTCGGCTAGTCGCCGTGGACGCTTGCTCGCTCTCGCTCTCGCTCTCGCTCGCGAGCGTTTACCCGCGTACATCCGCCGTGCTGTTAAGGCGATATCGATTTTTGACAGCTGCTCTGCGAAACGCTCACAAACCGCGTATATACCGTGTACAAACGCCATACGTAACGTACGTACTGTACCGTAAGAAGGGTTCTCCCCGATACACTCACCCTCTCTTTCTCTCCCCTCGCAACGTAACGCACGCAAACGCAATGTGACATCATACGTGTTTGTGCGAATTCGATCCGCGCGCTTTTCCGGAAAGATCGTTTACTTTATCGTGCGGTGAGAGCGTACGCAAATTCTTGCAAATTGTGATTATTCACCATTAATCCGACGAACTTTGACAGTTTCTTTTGGTGTTTCCTTTTTCGATTATTTCCGATCGACCTTTCGATGGCTGCTTGGTATTACGCGATCATTCATCAACTAGCGTATTCTGATAGCCGTATAGTGTTTCTTGGTTCGTGACATTATTCATTACTATCTAGCAATTTTTTATAATAATTGTTGTCATTATTTAGCGTTGACAATTATTTATGACCGAATTTTCTTTAATAATTATTTGAAATAACTGATGATGTTTTGACTACTTTGCGGTTTAATAATGATTTGAAGTACTTTGATGATTATTTTCCTAGTTTGCGATTTATTAATTAGCTTTTTGTGACAGTCTTTTAGCATTTCTGATTTATGGATTTTCTCCGTTTAAACAAGATCTTTTGATTTAGTATCTTTTTATATCTATTTATGGTCAAGCAAAGTTTTTCGGCTATTATCTGATGTTATTGGAATCTAGTAATGATAAAAATACTTATATTACTAGCGAAATTAGACACTTCTGGATATTATTCGACAGTAGATTAGCAAACGTATGTGAATTTATATATTGATTCGATAGGCAATGGTTACATTTATTGTTTTGATGAGGAAATCTGAAATTGTGGCGATTTACAAGATATTAAAAAATTTAAATATATAAATATGTTTTATATTTCCGACATCAACATTGTTATCTAATAATTAAGCAAAGTAAAGCAATTATAATTATTAATAGTAAAATTAAAGAGGGAAGCTAAACTTTAGCGGTGCAAATATTTTATTCTCCATTTAAATAAATTTTATTTTAACAGAAAAATTAGTTGTAAAGATATTTGATTTAAACCCTCGATATTTTTATGAAGAAAAGATCGACGTGCTTTGATCAAAGTTTATAGATGGAAAGCGGCTCGCTAAATTTAGCTAGGACATTCCGGATAATGTCGATAATATTGTGCACGTCCATTAATACTGCATTTGACATCTGTAGGAAACGCGACATGAACATAAACCGTGAATGCTCATTCTCAGTCTCTGTCCGCTTCAGGTACGGATGATGGAGGAGCGGCTGGTGAAGGGTGAATACTGCCTGAGCACATCCGGTGTTGGATCTCCGCCGCATTCGCTACCGTCAACTTCCGGTACGCAGAATGACAAGATCGAGGATGTTCATTGTGCTTGCATATCGAAGCTAGAGACTCAAGTCGAAGAACAGGTAAAATGGAGTTTTTACAGTGTCTGAGAAATCGATGTTTCTTTAAACAATTTAGATATACAAAGTAATAGATATTTTACGTATTAGATTATACAAAATACAAAGTGTTTTAAACTTATCAAAGTGTGAATAGAACGTGAAATAATCCTTAGCAATTATAATTGTCGGAAAAAGTTTTACTATTTGAATAAGTAACTATTTGATCACAATGTTTATCTAATAATATTTATTATGAAGTATTTATATTTAGAATATTTATATAATATCCATTGTTTTTTATAGAAAATTAAAGCATTGCCTTTTGTTTTTACTGAAAAATCGTCGTAATTCACGCGTTATTCTCGCAATGTCTTTTCCTGATACTTGAGATTATGATATCTGCTGATTACTGGAATGGGTGGAATCAAACTGTCTTGTCTTATCAATCAGTCAGCATTGTTTATTCACAGAGGCAATTACGGCTGCAAGACGCTAGGCAGGTGGAAGCGAAAGCAGCGAGGATAAAGGAATGGGTCACTAATAAGTTGAGAGAACTGGAACAGCAGAATCAACATCTGAGAGAGCAGAACAACAAGTGCAACCAGCAGCTCGAGTTGTTGCGCAATCACATTACTAATATCGGACTCAAACCACCTGTAAGCGTTTTGAAATACTACCTAAAATCGACATGTTTTTTTCTTTCTTTTTAACATTAAAATTAATCTATATACATTTTAAAAAATTTTTCTTTAGTTTTGATTTACAATATAATGTTTTATTCGTGATTACTTATTTGGAAAAAAGTACCGGTTTAAAATTGGCTTTATAATAGAATTCTAATACAATTTTAATAGATTTTTTAACGATATATTTTGTGAATTTAGGCGCCCACGAGAGCGTCGCTGTCGCTGGAAGTAGATCCCACCTTACGTATCGATCGTAGACGATCGGAAAGCCTAGAGGGTACCCCGCAAACGGCACCGGAGTGCGTGCAGAACATCGCGGCGGAGCCGCAAGCGAGCACAAAGCACCGGAGACATTTATCTGCTTGCGGCACCATTCAACGAGGAATTGCAACCGCCAATATGGATTCGAGGTAAAGCTTCCTGACGATCCCATGAAACACATTCACGAACAAAATCGCGCCGCGATATATTGCCACGAGGCTAATACTTTTCTCGTTACTCTCACGTTAAACGCAATCGCACGATTCTCGTATTTCGATTCTCCTTGGGAGGCCTCACGACGTAATAGCGGCGCCCGAGTTTTCAAAATGTGGTACCCTGTAACGTCCTGGGACTTCCTGAGGGGATCCGTCAACTCTTCTCTCATTCTATTTTCATTATTGAATTCACTATAGATTTATTGCATCTCATATATTTTTCTCCGTTTGTAATCTTTTTACATTTTTCCATTTATAATAATTTTAAATCGAGTTTAATCACGATATCTCTATTTCACCGAACAATAATATCCTTGGAAGAGATGCGCATACGCACATATATACTTATATGTCTTCTAGAGAACAGTTGAATCGGTTCCGTGATTTATACTTGCCGCTTTTCTTTATTCTTTCTTAGTCTGCTGTCCGAGGAATTAGCCGCGGCGGTGGAGAATCTGGTGATGCTACCGAATATACCCGGTGTTTCGGAGGCGAGCAGAGACAGCGGCAGCTCGGAAGCGTTACATGACTATGCTGAGATATATACACCCAGCCGAGAGGGCATGAACTGGCTGCAGGGAGGTGGACAACCTCGTCCGCCGACCCCGCCATTGCACAGATTTCCCAGTTGGGAGGCAAAAATATATCAGGTAGCGACATTGATCTTGGTTTTTCAAAAATATATACAAGTAAAAGCCCGCATTAAAATTTCGAGATAATTAAACTCTTTCGTATACATTTTATTTTGATTAACTTTTGTATTAATTTGGTTCTAGAAAGATACTGAGATGATTATCGTGATATTTTATAGGTAGCAGACGGTGGCCTTGGCATCGGTCCACCGACGAACGAGGAGTCCGCACCCTCCACAATGACCAACACGAGTTCGTCAAAGCATTCCCAGGCCACAGGACACAATTTGACAGCACATAACTCTCAAGGCTACTGCGATATTTCTGTTCCGGTGTACGCCACAGTCAAAGGTAGATTATAAGAATGCTTGATAAATTTTTGATACCGATATAAAGAAAAAATAAATATACACAAAAATATCAAAAATGTTAGATGTAAAAAATTGTATACATTATTGGTGCAATTAATAGTTGTGATATGACGACCTGTACGAATTTATGAGTTTGTTTGCTTTATGTTTTTCAGGACGTGCCAGTCAAATTAGATCCATGCCTTTCGGTGACAGCTCCGATGACAGTTCTGACGGGGAAGAACATCCGAATCAAACTGAGACCAATACCAGAATTACGAATAGTTCGTCCGATAATACGGATTCCTCTCTCGGTAGCGGAAGCAGTCCTTCAAAAAGTATCAAAACCACCAGTAGTCTCAGCCCAGCAAAAAGAAGTTCCAGCGGCTCGCCTAGTAAAAGCGTAAAACGTGGTGAGTTTAATTGACTTAATTGATTTGTCTTTTATGCTCATTTTAAGATAAAAAGTCTTAAATAACGTTTATATTTTATTACTTACACAAGATTCAAAGATTTAGTGTTTATCAGATTCAAACTTTGTTTATCTTCCATAAAAGGAAAATTTATATATTATAATAAAGAATGATATTTTTATCGGATAAATCGAATGTTCAGAAGAAGAAAAAAATATTGAGTTTTGTGTAAAAAATTTCCGGCACTAAACAACTTTAAATTTGTTTGACTTGCAGATACTTCTCTCGAGTCAGGATTGTCCGAGGATTATGCAATACCTCCGGATGCACTTAGTTCGACATCTCTAGAATCCAGCATGCCTAGTTTGTTGATGCGTGTTTCCGGCGAAAGTCCAAAAAGGCTGGAATCCCTCGAAAAGACGGGTCATCTAGCCAAATTAGGTGGCAAGTTAAAAACTTGGCGAAAGCGATGGTTCGTTCTGAAAAACGGTGTATTAACTTATTGGAAGAGTCAAAATGACGTCAATCGGAAACCTCAAGGCCAAATAATCTTGGACGAAGTCTGCAGGTATGCGCAGCATAAAATAATATTATAATTGAGAGATATACTTGAAGCGAAAATTGCTTAGAGAATTAGATTTACGATTGAAAAATTAGATCTTAATATGAAAAAAGTGCCTGATAAATATCACTTTTGTCTCTTATAAATTCATAGAAACAGTTTTGCGTCATCTTCGTGTATTTTTCAGAATTAATAGAGCCGAAGGTGCGGCCACTTTTGAAATAGCCACCGGTAAGAAGACGTATTATTTGACCGCGGATTGCATCGCTACGATGGAGGATTGGATAAGAGTGCTACAGAATGTACAGAGGCGAAACGCGACGAAACTCCTGCTGAGCAAAGAGGATAACAAGCCGTCGATACAGGGCTGGTTAACAAAAGTAAAGAACGGCCACGCGAAGAAGTGTTGGTGTGTGCTCATCGGCAAGATGTTTCTGTATTTCAAATGCCCCGGTGATACGGTGAGTACATATAAATATATATTCCTATTGACAGATACGATTGGAAAACACAGATTAGAAACGATGAATGAGCGTATGTTTGTTGAGTCAACTTAACAAAGGAATCGACTTGTTTAGTGAGCAAAAACCATTTTTTCAGAATCCAATTGGTCAAATCAACATGAGGGACGCCCGAGTGGAGGAGGTAGAACACGTGTCGGACAGTGACAGCGAAGAGAGAGACGCCGAGTGTCCGCATGAGAGGACGATAGGCATCTTTCCGACGCATCAAGGCCCGACGTACCTGCTGATGCCACACAAACAGGATAAGGATAACTGGCTTTATCACTTGACAGTGGTGTCGGGCGGCGGACCAAGTGCGGGCACACAGTACGAGCAGCTAGTACAAAGACTGATGGAGACTGACGGTGATCCCAGTTGCGTGCTGTGGCGTCATCCCCTGCTGTTACACACAAAAGAGAGCATCACAAGCCCGCTGACCAGCCTGACCTCCGAATCTTTACAGACCGAAGCCATAAAGCTCTTCAAGGTTAATGCGATTTTCTCATTGTTGTTCTTTAAATTATGTGAAATTTTCAACACGTTTTTTTGGATGATAAAACTGACACTTGTTTTCAGCACTCTACAGAAACTTACAACGCTATAATTTCTACACTTTTTTTTCTAGCTCTAGAAATTTTCGAATAATTAGATCGTTATTTTAATTATTAATAATATTTGATAATAAGATTTTTTAGCTACATTTTCTACACTTCTCTTTCGATATCTGTCAAAATATAAATACACATATATCTCATTTTAAATGCAGAGAATGTGGAAGATGCGGCTAAAAGAAACAGGTCATTATCATTAAATCGTTAAGTTGAATTAATCGTTGAAATAATTTTCCGCATTTCTGATCGTGTAGGCCTGTCAACTGTTTATGTCGGTGGCAGTAGAACAAGCAGGTATCGACTACCATGTGGTTCTAGCGCAAAACGCATTGCAGCAATGCCTAGATCAGCCTGAACTTCAGTCTGAATTTATATGCGCACTGGTAAAGCAGACAAGTCGTCACACGCAACATCGTTTGGGCGTACAGGTAAAAAAGGCCGCCAGACTTGTGTCACTGGGTACTGCGCGCGTTGTAAGTCCTGCTTATTGTTTAACAAAACACTCAACCATCCTGTACCATTTTTAAAGTTAAAGCGATAGTAATAGATATTCATCGATCGATCATACGTCGAAACCCGGATGATGGATCTCATCTCATCTCGCATTTTTGAATTGTTTCCGGTATTTGTCCGATATTTCTTTTAAAGCAGAAAATGGTACACTGGGTATGCTTAGTCAAGTATTACGGGTAATTCTTCTGGTCGTGGACACACTGAGTAGTGGTGTAGCGGAAAATGGTTTAACATACAGAATAGCACTCGGTAATATTAAACTGACAAAAAGAAAAAAGAAACGTATCGCTTGTCACCGCAATAATAATACTTGACCAAGTTCAATGACTATTTTTAGTTTTAACAATCATTCACACATTTAATTCTCATTTGCCGCTTTAAGTGTGCTGTCTTTTAGGCTCTCACTCTACTTTTAAATCGCATGCGTTTACAGTTCTTTTGGATATCACGATGGTGTTAAGTTTCGTTTACTTTTTATCATATATTTTTATATTTATACATCATACCCAATCAAGTTACCCTAACGCCCTTCATGCGAGCCGAACATATTTCGACGATATCACAAATAGTAATAACAATCGATGTTTTATCCATCGCATCTGTTAATTCTTATTTTTTCACATTACATTACAAAGTATACCGTAATAATAAAAATGTTCCTAACTAAAATCCGTCAAAATACGTTCTGCGCCCCACACACACACTTGCAGAATGGTATGTTGGTGTACATGAGGACACACACAGAAAGACATTTTTAGATTCTTTTTTCTAATTTTTCATAAGTTTTTTTATAATAGCTGCAATATAGTTACTTCGATATTCTTTGTTTGAATGCTGCTTAGAGATTTAGATTCTTATCATCGGAATAGATTAACAAATTGAATTTATAATCCTTTACCTTTTCAAACGAGAAACACAAGCACATAAAAGGCATTGCAAAAATGTTGTAAAGATGTCTAGAAGCGTCTCTTAGGAATGAAAATCTTAGAGACCTCTTTTAGACCTCTTTTAAACATGTGAGTTTTTATATTGCTTGGATTCCTCTTTTCCTTCAGCTATCCAGTTTTTTCTCAAATTTATTGAAAAAAAAAAACACAAAGTACGTGGACTTATTGTTCCAAATTTTTGCAAATTTACGAGAAAAAAAAGAGCCTCACTTGTCTCATGTAACGTCAACAAACGTAAACGCAACGCTTTACGGCTGGTACGGTAGATTCACGCGGCCTAAAAATCTAAAAGCTTTTCTCATTCACACGTTTTAATTTTTTATGCAATTTCGAAGGTTTATATATATCGAATACGCGTTTTATCTGATTAACATGTAGAGTTGTGCGTTGAAATTTCGATTTCAGTGCTTATCTACTAACCGAAAGAAAAACACGATTAATTCAAATAATATTTATTTTCAATGAGTACAAATTTATAATTAAAGAAAAAAAATCTATATATTTCACGTGAGAAAAATACACGAATCAAAGAAAATTAATAGAGATTTATTCTCCAAAATTATGAATTTCTAATCTTCGAAATATCAAGGGATGATCTTAAGATTTCTTTATTTTCCATTCTTTACTGCTTATTTTAGTTTTACGAAATTACAGCGAGATTTAATAATTTAATTCTTTAAGAGAAAAATACATATTACAGTAATTTATTTGTTTTACTTCACACATTGTACGTTTTATATATTATATTGCTACATTTTATTCTGTAAAAGAAATGAAGAAAACAATTTTAAGAATTTGAGAGAATTAAATAGTTAATTTTTTCAAGTTCTTAAATTATAGATCTCTCTCTCTCTACTATTGCACTTACTTTTTTATTAAAAAAATTATTTAATAGCTTGTACGTAACATGGACGTTAATGTAATGAGGATAAAAAGAGATAAATTGAAACTTAAGCATTTTTTAATTAATTCTCGCTTTTGAAGAACAGAAATTCAATTTTTGGAAGAATATTATAACATCCATTCGATTTCTTGCAAAGTATAGATAATCGTAATGTAAATATGCGTTACTTATATATTCATATATAAAGAATGAATATTTATAAAATGAGATCAGTGAAATAAGTGTCAATTAAAAGTATTGAAATTACATAACGCGAATATTGAGATGTCTTGTCATTCGTTATCGTTCCGCAATCGTAATAGCGTTATTGAAACGTACTGCGTTTACTTTTTGACGATGAAAAATAGTAAGCTAGACTTGGCTGAGTGTAATATACAGGGACATAGTAGTATGCCAGCATACCATTGCAGCAGCTCCTCCTCTGCGCCACGCAATCGCTCTTCACCTGCGATACGCAAAGTCCCGCGGCAAACGGCAGCGGTGAAAATGCGGACGCGCAATCAACGGCCTCGACTTCTCACAGTCCTCCGCTCACGCAGGGCCACTCGACTTCCACTATCTTGGACTGCAAAACTAATCCCGCGCAGTACGTGCTTATCCAAGGATGGCAACTCCTAGCGCTCGCCGTGTCTCTCTTCCTGCCCAGGAACAACCGGCTATTGTGGTACCTGAAATTGCACCTGCAAAGAAACGCCGACAGCAAGTGAGTGAGAGCTGATTCGGGCGGATCAATCATTGCGGAGAGACAAATACAAAGAAGAAAAGTTTTAGGAAGAAAAGAAATTTCTTATAATTATTTTGCTTTATTGATATATAAATAAGCAAAGAAAGATTTTATAATCGATATGGAAAACTTAGGAATTGGAAGAGTTTTAACTTTTTCTAGAGGAAGATTTATTTCAAATAACGATTAACAATCTTTAATAGATTTTCACTCGTTTTTAGTTTGTATAGACACAATTAAAAAGTTTTAAACTGCAAATGAGTGTTGGAACTTATATTGAAAGTTACATAGAGCTTATAAAAATTATAAAAACCGTATCTTCTTAGCAATGACTGATTCGATTGTAATGTTAGCGCTATTTATCTTGCATCACATTTTACGTTACGTTACATTGTTACACCAGAACGGAATGCGGCAAGTACGCGGCTTACTGCGAAAGAGCCTTGGAAAGAACATTGCAGAACGGTGGTAGAGAGGTGAAGCCCTCAAGGATGGAAGTGCTATCGATACTGATGAAGAATCCGTATCATCACTCATTGCCACACGCCATACCGGTTCACTTTTTGAACGGCACGTATCAGGTCGTAAGCTTCGACGGTAGCACCACGATAGAGGAATTTTTGAATACGCTGAATCAGGAGATCGGCTGTAGGGATGTTCATCAATCCGGCTTCACGCTGTTTAGCGATGATCCGATCGAAAAGGATCTCGAACATTTCATCGATCTGCAAGCGAAGGTTTGTGAAGATTGAAACCGTAAAATAACACAAAAATTATACTGTTAAGATTAATGAAGACAAATTCTATCTAATTAAATCTATATAAAATACCGATAAAAAAGTTTTGTATTCTACTTCAACTGATTCAGTGAATGATTCAAGCTTATATATTTCAGTTATGTGATATTATTTCGAAATGGGAGACTGCGTTACGAGAGAAGGGCTCAGGAAAATTCGAGAACACTAGAGTGATACAATTGACGTACAAATCGCGTTGCTATTGGCGGCAAGCTGCTAAAATGGAAACGGACAAGGAGAGGCTTCTATTATGTTACCAAGTGAATCAACAAGTTGTGCATGGAAAGTTTCCTTTAAACCGTGAGCTTGCCTTCGAATTGGCATCGTTGATGGCACAGGTATGACTTATACGCGTTGGGTACACACGATTTTAAAAATGATTATAAATACTTATATCTTGTACTAATTGCGTGTGCGCTAATTAATTTCGTAGATTGATTTTGGAGAGTACAACAATGACAAAGCCCGCGGTAGCGGCGCTGGAAGTAATCCGCATCATCTCGTACTACAAGCTTTGGACAAATTTTATCCGCTCCGCTATCGAACAAACATTACCACCGATCAATTGAGGTAAATGATCTGTGATAAGCGATATATTAAGACTATTTAGATACTATGTGTTGTATTGTGTTTTTTGCTGTGTTTTAACACATTATTTTTTCTTCATCAGGGAATTGCAGGAGAAGCTGCAGGAGAAGTGGATCGCTTTGAAAGGACGTAGCGTATTGGATTGCGTTCGTATATATCTCACATGCACCAGAAAGTGGCCTTTCTTCGGAGCTACCTTGTATCAAGCAAAGGTAAATAAAGCTGTCACAGATATTACATTAAAGAATAAAGAATAAAGTAAAGAATTACATATAAGAATAAAGTAATTACACGTGATTATGATATAATAATTATGTGATTTGATTTTATTCTAAAATGATTTTTTCAGCTAAAGCAAATTGACACTGTAACCGTTTGGATAGCAGTTTCTGAGGACAGTGTAACGTTGCTCGAGTTACAGACGATGGCGATTATGTGTCGTTACAATTATGCGAACATAGTAACGTTCGGCGGCTGTTTGGACGATTTTATGCTTGTTGCTTGTCCAGACGAGGGTGCGGCCGAACAGAAATTGCTGTTTGCACTTTCTAAACCCAAAGTGCGTATAGTTATTTTATGACATTGACAGCTATAATTGAAGAAATTATTTATTTTATCCGTATTTATTATAACGTTTTCAGATTTTGGAAATAACATTACTAATCGCTGATTATATGAACGCGCTGGGCCACACGTTACCGGGCACTCCGCAAATGAACACTCTAACACGCAATGGATCACACCGATCCATCAAATCGACTCTGAGACCTGCGACTGGTTAGTGAAAAAGAAATTTCTATTTTCTTCACACAAAACATATTGCAAAATTATAGATATAAAACTTTAGGATTGTGTACAAAATTTGGAAAAAAAATTACCGTTAACATAAATGCAATAGTTATCTTTTTGAATTATAAGTGATGAAAAATGATGGATGATGTCAGAATTAACTTAGATGTAAATAGATAACAAATTAAAAGTTAAATAATCTTAAATAATTGATGTTTTACGTAACAAAACGTAGTAATTAAAACTCAATTTTTATTAATATTTTACAAGAATACAGTGCTTATAGAACTTTTTTTCAGGTTCAAGCTGTCTTCCAACTCAACCTGATATATTGAAATCGACGCCTGATCACCAAAGACCTTAAAAGCTGGGCTCGTTAATTTTCGAAAAGACGATTTCGAAAGATGGACATGTTTCTTGGATACACGCGCGGAGATCTGATTACAACGCATATTTTCTTTTGTACAAAGGCAGCGTAAAAGTGCAGTATTAATATCGTACATTGCAACGTGCGGCACATCATTTTTTTTCACAAAATGTAGTCGCAGTCGCATTCAAATCATGTTTGCGTTTACGTCATGTATGCATGTAAATTAGTAATGACTTATAAGACCGTATCTGTGTAAATATACTTAACAATAAGCGCAAGAGCTAACTACGAAAGGTCGTCTAGGTGGCTTAAAAAGCGGTGACTGAAATCGAATCGAATCGAATCGATCTATAACACTGCCTAATTAATGTGCGCGATTACACATCGAATAATTTGATCCCGCGGCAAAGTATCATGCTGAGACTTTTGCTACTGTATTTATATATTAAATTAAAGACAAAACGAGACGCATAAAATATTGCGTAACAGTGACATATTCACGTATTGTGTATATATTAATCAAAGTTACTAAATGTTTAGGAGTATAATGAGTGACACAGCGATGCGTTCCTTTCGAATAAAATTGTCGCGACCTAAGCATACATAACTACATCGTTATTGTCATGTAATTCGTAACGCAATTTTTTTCTCATTTTATTGGTAACAATTTTTATTGCGTTTTTATTGCTTCTGCCAGAATTTTAATTTAATTTTGAAGAGTGGATTAAATTTGTTAGATTTATTTTATTATAATTGATTTATTTTGTTACAAATTTAAATTTAAGTTTAAACTTAGATTTAATTGTGATTATAAATTGGAAGTGAGAATTCAAATTTAGCCAATATTAGATTTGTACTAAAAGTTTAAGTTCAATTGTAAATATATATTTGAATTGAGAATTTGAAACTAGAAAATTTAATCGGTACGCTTGAATAAGGAATTTAAATTTGATCAGGATTTAAAAAAATACTAACTCAAAACTTTTGAAAATTTAACTGATGAAATCTGTATTTTAAAAAATAATTTAAATTTATTTGAAATTAAATTCAGTTTTGATATACGTATTTGAGAAAGAAAGAACTCAAGAAAAGAAAGACACAGACAATTTTATTTTGACAATCATTGCAGGCTGGAATTATTTTATTCTGTTTATTTTTTTACAGAAAGAGAGACTGATTATTTCTTACCTTCGGATGTTCTGTTTTTTTTTGTTTCTTGCATGTACGTGAGGCTACTTTGAAATCGATCACAACTAGTCTCATATCCGATATTTATTTAATGTGTAAGCAACTGCGTTTCTTTTCTTTTGTACAAGGACACGACCAAATAGATGTAATATTGGGAACGTAATTTATTATTTAGTAATTGTCATCGCGTTCCTGCGCATAATACGTGTGCAACACTGTGTATTGAAATATACGTGACGGTTATAGCATTGTCTATATATATATATATATATATAATATATATATAAAGAAGTTTTGTACTCTCGTTCGACGTGTCCTACGTAACTAGCAAACGTCTTCCTTCTAGCGATTACGAATTACGAGTGGGGGTTGAAAGTAGGGCTTTCGTGCAATACGTGCAAAACTTCTGCGGTTTTGTAATTTTCGAGATTACTACGATCGTGTCTGTCCCGAACGAGTAAAACGAGCCCGAATAGGGGACCTCAGTTCGAAGGACCTTTGTAAAATATCCGAGACATCACAAAAATCTCCTGGACAGATTTTTGCGATCTCCATTGGATATTACGTTATCTGGGAATGTGGACGGACTAACGCGCATATACCCGGCTTCATTTAGCGTATTGTGAACGTTCAGAAACCTCAGACTACTACTGAGTGCAGTACAAAGATATGCAAGAACGACATTTTGTCCTTAATTTTTTATATATCGCGATATCGAATGCTATATTATACGGGTGACTAGCACCTGTGATGATTATCATGACGTAGTTGGACGAATCGTACACGTACCACATTCACTCATTCGTGTAAATATCATGAAGTACGGACTTGCGTTTCTAAAGATTAGTAGAATCAAAATAGGCAGCTAGTAATTTACACAATCGAGTTCTATCTGGATCGCATTCTATCGAGCCTATCTCTCGTTTTACATTTGTATTTATTATTTATTCATATGAGCAAAGATGCGAGAGCGAGACAAATGGAAGACATTGTGTACTATTGTACAGAAGAACAAATAAACTGCACATTAATACAAACATATCAACGTTAATAATAATCCCTGAACAGTCTCATTTCGTTTGCAAAAGAATGCTGATAAAATGCAGGAAGAAGGATCAGGTAAGGATTTAGGATAGATATGTAGAGTTTATTATCGATAAAAGAAGAAAGTCCGTTGTAAATTCATATATCCAACATATACTTCTTAGTCATTGATTTATAGTTTGTACAGATGTGTTAATTTATTTTTCAGTCTGTTTTGTCATTGCAGAGATTGAACAATTCGATATTTACTTTTCCCATTGCACACAAAAATATTAATGTTTTAGTCCACTTCTTCTGGCCTCACAGGATGCGTCAACGGAATCACAGATTTCTTTTTTACATCTCTTGACAGCGCTTTTCTCATATCTGAAGACAGAATGTGATATTTATTAATTTTGCACACATAAAAATCTATTTGATTATTCCTCAGGAAAGAAATCTACCGTATGCGTCTTCATCTGGATCTCCGTTATAATATTCCAATACTGTTCTATACACAATGTATCCTAATTGTTGATACATTGCAATGGCCACTTTGTTGCTCACTCTAACAAAGAGATCCACAAAATACGCCTGTTTTCTAATTTCAATAAAAATGAGAACAAAATTAAACATATTCATATGTGTAACGAAAAGATTATCATTTTACATTTAACTAATAAATAATTCTTTACTTTTCCGATACTTCCTCGAGGAACTTCATCAGCATCGCGGCAAGACCCAATCTTCTGTAGTCAGGAGAAACTGTGAGAGCTGTTACATGACCGTGCCAATTTTCTCCATGACCTTCTGCCTTTCCCATGACTGATATTTTTCATACAAAAACAATGTTAATTGTAAGTCAATGGAAAATCTTTGTTATAAGAATTATATGAACTTACTGTAACCCATGATTTCACCGCTTGGGGATTCTGCCACTTGAATGTATTCAGGCCAATGTGCGAGGTAATGCATATAAAATGAAAGTCCATACTAAGTAGAAATATGAATAATAAAGGAATATACATTGAAAGGTTTAAAAATTAATAAAATGCAATTTGTGATGAATACTTTTCAATTTGTTTAACCTATTAAACCTATTAGTTGAGTTGGTCACATTTGTAGACAATTTTATTATAATTTTTATTATAAATAAAATAATTTTAATGTAATTTTAGCAACAATTGATTTGTTTTTGAAATACTTGAAATATCCACCGAACTCTATATTACAACCAATGAATTAATGATATAAAATATTTCTTAGTTATAAGTTAAAATTTTTTTTTATTATTTAAAATAAAGGATACTGTTTCTGTGAGTGGATCCAGATTCCTAAAATTAATAAATATAATCTCAATGCTAATAATAAATTATTTTTATCGTTTCATTGGATTTTAGGTTATACGACAAACTTTGTATTAAAAATTACTTACACGTTGTTGAATTTAAACAAATCATTGCATGTAAAAGGCCTGAGTGTCGTCATTTTTTTAAATTGTACAAATGTTTAAATTTTTTCACTTTTTAAAGTAATGTCGGGACTGAATAAGAAATGTCCAAAAAGTGAATACAGTAAATCTGCAGACTGCAGTGAATGCTAGAATAGAGACGTGGCCCCGCGTAGAATAACGCATACAATCGAGAACCGCGTTTCGGCTAACTCGAATGGTAGAAAAGAGCTGATAATAAAGAAAATCTTTTTATAGAAGAATTGCACCTTTTATTCCTTTTGTTGAATTTTTAATTTTTTGAGTTTTGCTTTATAAAAATTAATAAATGTTGATTATTTGATACATACAATGTCATCACTATAGACTCGTTATTATTTCGCTATAGGCTCTATTTGCCGGTAACAAATATAAAATTAAAAATTACTTTTTCAGGTTTTTATGGAATATAATTATTAAAAACTCAAAAAATTAAAAAAATTTAATAATGAGAACAATAGACATTTTAAAAAAGACATCTTAAAGATGTCCTAAAAATTAAAGACGGACGTTTTTTTTTTTATTTTTAAAACAATTATATAATAAATGAAATGTGATATATATTGTTATTTTTTTTCATATTGATAACTTTATTTTCATATTGAAAACGTTAGTATATATACACATACATATATATATATATATATATATATATATATATATATATATGTTGTTTATATTTTAAGAGAAACGTATATTATAAATTATGTTATAATTTCTTCTAGTAAAAATTAAGGACACAATATAAACTAAAAATAATTTTTATTTATATTGTTGTGAGTTGTAATAACAAATATACCATACACTTTCTTATACTGTAAAAATATACTACGAAAGAAACATATCCAAATAATTTTGTTAGCAACATATCTAAAAGGTAAGAATAAATAATATAAATGCATTAAACTTCTGTTTGTCTAGAAAAAGAAGATTTATAATGTTTATTTTTATTTAAAGTATTGAATATAACAATTACGATACACACGGATGCATGGAAATACCTGAACTCTCAGTTTTGCGTATTATTTACAGCGTTACACGAAACTGGGAACGTAAAAATATTGTATTTTAGGATATGATGATCGAAAAAGTGTGAGATACCGAATTGATTTATATAGAAAAGAAACGTTATTCAAAACACTGCTACTTTTCCTTGCGTTGTGATGTCAGACTGTCGTGCATGGTCGTTACAACGGTTTCTATCAGTTCTGGAATCACTACACCATTAACGTCAATGAAGTTTGCAACGGATTTGGTCACAGTCGTCTCGTTAATGTTGCCTGATGACGCACTCCTAACTGACAATACCAGATTATACTTATCATCATACTTTTTTAAATAAGAACTTGCCTCCCAAACCAAATCAGGGTTGAAACCTGCTGGATCTCTGAAAAGAAAAGATTATGGCATTACAATTTTATAAATTTGTATTTTTAGTTTATACATAAAGAGTTAAATAAAGCTCCCAGATTCTCTCAATCTTACATCTTACACTAAAAATAATTTCTGTATCAAATAAGCAAAGTTTAAAAACTAATAGTTGACAAATTTTAAGTATAAGCATTAAATAGAAATGAAAGTACAAGTATCCTACAAATTGCAGATTATTTGAAATTATAACTTTACCTTTGAACGGCGACCACAAATATGCCTTTCTCTTTGTATGTTGTATATATTGTTAAGAGTCCCATTAAAAAGAAATACATAGAAACACAAGCTATTAGAACAGGTTTTGAAGCAGGGAATGGATATAAATAATCACACAATAATGCTACAATGGCTATTGTAACAGCAATTCCACAGAGCGCCAGTCTTCCATCCAAAAGAGCAAAATTTTCTATGTAATTGTATTTCTTCGTAAGTACTTCCTTGACTGCATCGTCCAAAGCATTCTTCACGGCTGAGCCGTCCCATTTATTGATTTTTATGACCTGCAGAATAAATATCATTTACTTTGTTAAATAAAAAAAATATTTTATCTCAGATTTGTATTACAAAAAATTCTACTACAAAAATATCATTGTATTGTAAAAAATTATACAAGAAAGCTAATGTTTAATCAGAACACAAAATGTGTTTTTAATTAGAACATAAAAATGAAAGATTTTTCTTTGTTAATTTGAAAAGTTGAGAGTAATTTACTTAAAAAATATAATACAGTAAAAACACTATTATACTGCTAGGTTGTTGATCATTTTATTAAAATATAACCGTTTACTAGAGGTACCATACGTGGTATTACAATTGGTCGTTTGACTATTATATTGCTGGTAAAATAAAAATCATACCATTTGGCACAATTATATTCATTGCACTATACATACGGTTCATAAAATAACATTTCAATTGTAAAAATAAACTTACAGAATTATCCACTGCACCCATTGTGACTCTAACCTTACAACAAAACACGTAGCTCTTGAATCCTTTCACAGTACACGTCAACGTCAGTCAAATGGAGCTATGTGCCTGAAAAGGCAAATATAGATGGCGACAGTGTTGTTAAGCGGTTTTTTAGCGACAGATTGAAACTGATGAAAATATAATATTTTTTTATTGACATTGGACTTAGTAACAGAAACTAATATATAAATTTGTGTTTTAATGCTTTACTATGTAAACTTTTATTACGATAATTTGAATTCTTAGTCACATAAATAAATTTTTGTATAGTTTAAAAAGAGTTTTTATAGTTTTCTCAAATATTTCTTCATTAATATTCTTGGATATTATATTATATTAAACCATGCAATCTTTATTTTACATTATCTTATAAATAGCATACATTTACACATACAAATACATAAACAACATTAGATGTACGTATTGCAGTGTAGTCATATTTTTATCCCTCGTCATTGTATATAAAGATACATAAAAAAACGATCAGTCAAGCTTTCAATAAACATACTGCTTTGCTAATGCTCTCAGAAATTTTGCTTTTCGGATATTGGCCGCTTCTCTTTGAATTTCTTCGTTGTTATTAGAATTCAATTCCAATAAGCCAATGACTTTGATCTACAAAATAAAATATTCATATTTATATGCATGTACTATAAAAGTATACACATTTATTATTTAATACTATTAAAGAAAAACAAAAACGCATAAAAAAATCAACTAATTATATAATATTCAATTATTTAGTTTAGTTACTCACCGCAAGTTGTTTCCTATGATGTTCCCCGCGTTTCATATGTAGATGAATGAGATATTCGAGTATTGTTGTATCCCAGATGCAATGATAATATGCGTCCATAGCGTCAGCGGTGGAACAACTCTTCTGATCGCTGGCTGCCATTTTGAACGCTAGAGAATAATCCACTTCCTCTAAAAATTGACACAGTACAGCTGCTTGGGTATAGCACTGTAAATGAGCGCAGCACTTGATCATCCTTCTGTAAACAAGATCATCTATCTGTGTGCGTGGTATGGGCTGACTGAACAGATCGCTGGCTACCATGATGGCCTCCAAATAATACTTCATTGCACTTTCGTAATATGCTAGGACTAGAAAAAAATAACGATATATTTACATACATTCAATATTTGTATATTTGAAATGTTAATATTATATATTTGAAATAACAAAGATATACCGAAATTAAGATCGCCCATTAGTCTCAACCAAGGTACATTACATGGATAATATTTCAGAGCTTGCGTCAGTAGTTGGAATAAAAGTTCTCCAATGTATCTGATGTTGTATGAATTTGCGCTGTAAGCATTAATTTGTGTTAATGAAGTATTAAACACTGTTTGTATACACTAATATTATAATAAACGTACTTTGGTACTCCAGCAGGCCAAAGAGACAAATACTGCGTGTGTAATTCCAGACTCGACTCATCACGCAAAACGTTGCGTAAACGTGCCAGCAATGATATCACCACAGTGAGAACCATAGGTTCTCGTAAGCGACCAAGTGAAACAGCGATATTAGCAGCAATCTCTTTTGACGCACCACCGCTAGAATTTCCGCTGTTACTGTTGCTACTGCTGCTGCTGCTGCTACTGCGTTTCTGTGACTGATCTCTGTTGGGACCAAATGCTGCTAAAACTAAAAAAAAAGACGCGATTTCAATTTTTGATATTTATTATTTCTTGTTTTTTTTCGCATAATATTAAGCTAATTTTTTTAAATAAACTATACTTTTTTTGTTTTTAAAAGAAAATTACGTTTTATTTGAAAATATAAATTTAATAGTTTTAAAGTGTGATATAAATTTTATGAAATAACTTTTTTCTGTATACAAAATTTTTATAAAAGTATATACCCAAATCCCATGCTTCTCGCGGAAATTTACGGGTGCCCTTATACTTAACAATGTCTTGGCAAACGCTGCTAATAGTAGCTGCGAATTCAGTATAATTCCAACGCTTTTCCAAATTAGTAAGATAATCCCATTCAGCCATATTTAGAAGAAAGACCGTACAGTATTCTATTATCTCTTGCCGTGGGAGCAGCTGATCGGATGCTTGTAACGCATCAAGGCACTGTTTACTTCGTGCAATCATACTTTGTATATCACCTGAAATGACATTTATATTCCTATATCAAAAGATTATAAATTCGCCAGATATTTTTAATTCTTTCAAATTCTTTCAAATACGTACAGACATTTGTCGCTGGCCAAACATAACAACACTTCCATATCTCGACAAGCAGACATTCCCAGCTCACTAGCTTGCATAGTTTGAAGATTAGCGAACCACCACTTTTCATATGTTCCTGTAGCTCTTTATCCAATACTTTGAGGAGCTCGATAGCACCGTCAAAATTTTTCGAACTCACCAATTCTCGACTCTTTGCAAGCAGAACGTACGAGTAATCTTGCATAAAACCTCTGGAAAGCGACATTACTATGCTTTGCAAAGGAACGGGTAACTCCCAGCAGCTGTTTAAATGCCACAATGGTTTTATACGCCGTTTTCCATCCAGATGGATCAATGTTTCGCGGATTGCGTGAGAATCATATGATTCTATTAACTTTTGTTCTAATTCAGATACTTCAATCCTCGTGCTTTCTGCAAATTATAATGAAAATAGAATTGTAATGTCAGCATGCAAAGTTATAAAATAAGATTTCTTTTAGTATCTCTTCATTTTAACATTTTTTTCTCCTTTTTTTAAAATATGTTATACGTACGTATGTACAATATAGGTGGTATACCCCAATCATTATATAATAATAAGTTTGGTAACTCTATTTCGCCAGCAGCAGCTATCTCTTGGAAAACAGCAAGTTCCATTTCACTGAATAATGACGAACAAAAAGGATTATCAAGTATTCTTGAAGCAAGCCCTTCTATATTAGCAGTATTTATAAGATAAAGAAGATATCGTGAAATTCTTGTTTTATCCGTAGCCGTTGCTTTTTCCAGAACATTGTCTAAAGCCTGAAACATCGAAGATATTAATACAACAAACAGTTTCAACATACTTAATTTAAGAAAATTATTTTTTGTAGGATAATAAAAATAATAAAAATTTGCTCAAATGTATATTTAAAAAGTTATTTTATTCAAGACAAAAAAATTTAATTTAAAAGTTCTGACAAATTATTTTTCTAATTGTGAAACAGCAAATATATTTAATTAATGAATACTCAAAAATGTGAAATTTCTTTTACCCAGAATAAAACATCCAGACCCTTTATACCAGCTGCCTTAATTTCAGCTACATAATCGCCCAGGATTATATTGTCGTCAAGGATTTTCCTAATTAGATTCAAACACTGTATTTGCAGTAAAAGATCCCGAGCAACTACAAATTTCCTGTTAACTGATCCACCTTGTACGTCCAGTTCCAAATTATCTCTATAAACCTGTGGTATCTCCCTAAAAACATTATCTGCTTGCAAAATCTGCAATATATTCTGCAGATTTTGCATTATATTGTAAATATATATTATTCAAAAAATATATATATATGCCATTTTTTATTCATGCACAAAAGTATACCTACAGTATATTGATCTTTGATAGACGATTGCAAACGTTGTGTAAGACTAGGTGTAATTTCTTCTAACGGCACTTCACATGCCAGACAACAGCCAGCTAAATATTCCTTTTGCACTTTACAGTATATCAATTTTTCTTTGGACTCTAAAGTATTATATAAGTCCTTCGCTTGTTTAATATGACATTTTGCCTCTTGATATTCTTCTCTCAGTAAATGAAACATTGCAAGATCATAATGTATCTAAATATTATAAATACAAATGTTATTCCATTAATTCTAGCAGGTAATAAAATAAAAATATCTGTATCTTGTAAATCTCATACCTGACATTTAAATTCATCTATATTCACCAGGTACATATTTTCCCAATTTTGCTTGATTTCTGTACTGTCCTCAGTCAACATTTGAAAAGTATCAAAGGAGAGAACCTTTGGCTTTATATCAGGCATTTGTAAAATAGTGTTTAGAACACTTACACTGTTTGGTATTTGTGCTTCTAATTTCCTAATAATATCATCTACTACATTCAGAGGTACATAAGTCGACTCTTGAGTACCTGGTCTAATTCAAACATAAAATAATTTTAAGTCATTGCAGAAACATTACGTTATTTCATATTAGAATAAAACTTACATATGAAGCAATTGCTGTTTGGGTTGTTTACTACTCAGAGCTCTACAAATAATCGCTCTTAAAAGCCATCTGTGATACAAGACCAAGGTAAACAGAAGTTGATCAGAAGTCGTTTCTATAAAGAATTCTGGAATTGTAGGTATCTCCACCACAACTTCCCCAGTAATATAAAATAAATCTTGTAGCAATGTCAATTGTATCGGTAGAGGTAGCTTCTTTTCCAATACATCCAAGTCCCATTTGAGATATGCTGCTACTTTCAAGGAAAGTATTTTCAATGCTAAATTTCTGTGAGACCATTTAGTTAAACCATTAGGTTTTACATCATTTGTTTCTGTATCAATTGCTTTGGTTTCTGCCTCCTTTTGATCAGAATTGATTGTCATAAATTTAATTATTAGGTCTGTAGGCGATGGATCTAAAAATCATAAAGTTTTATATAATATAAACAGTACTTTAATGCTATGGGTTATATGCTATATAACAGTACTTCAATGCTATATGAGTAAACTATGAACATTTTATGAAATAATATGTATATGTTATAATTATTCATTTTAATTTTCAATACTTTGTAACTAATGTAATATTTCATATTATTTTTGAAGCCAACAATATATTGGTTTAATATCATTAATATCATTCTGTTTTGTTAATATTATGTTTACCTGGAAAGGGTTTTGACAAATGTTTTTGCAGTAAGGAAGGATTCAATAAAAATTCGAACCACAGTATTGTATCCGGCGAAATCGGTACAGTGCCTGGTCTAAGCAAATCCACATCCATGATAATAATATATTCATTAATATATTCACAATTAATAAAGACACTTTATATTAAAGCACTCATAAGCAACCACAACCAACTCGTGACAAACATAATGCCGACAACTACCAACTGTGCTACCAACAATTAAAATGTTTTAAATTCATAAACTATAAAAAAAAAATGAACAAAGATTGGATTTCTTCAATGTTTCCAGCCAAATAAATTACTACAAGTTCTCTAGTCAATAGCCAATTAGCACGTTTAATAAATTCTCACGCATAAATTACTAAAGAAACGTAGGGATATTTTGATTCATTTAAAGGAAATATTATTTTGAATTAGTGGCGACACTTGTATGTGACTATCTCAAAAACGATTTAATATTTAAATCGCCACTGTCAAATACGCTAAAACTTGATGCTGAGAAGTAATGCAGTCTTTTGGCGATGATACGCTGCTGGCTTGTATAAGTATTGAAAAGAAGCATGGAATCTTACAAGAACAAAACGGAGATAAAGTACTGCAGGAAGAAAACGATAGTGATTTAGGTAAATATTTTAAACAGAGCTTATTGCTTTCGGAGTTTGTGAACAAGGACGATGATGTCGATAAGTCAAAAGTGTCACGTCCCGCGCACAGTACAAAAAGAAGAGCGGAGGAAAATAAATCAGATTTTGTAAAATATTGCGAGGACATACATTCGAAACCCGATGACGGAAAACATTTTCCTTCAACATCAAGTATTTCAAAAGGGAATAGGATTTTGTCGTCTCGAAAAAGTCAGAATTCTTGTAAAACAAGCAATAAGAATGTTGAAGTGAACTATTTGAAAGAAAAGCATCTTGATATAATTAATAATGTCAAGAACTGCGATAAATCTAGTGATCAGAATCTTTATAAAGATAAGTCTAATGATTTCTTGCAAGTTGCAAGAAATGATAACAGTATTGGAATATCATTGTCAAGTAATAGTACAAATGATAAAGAAAACTCAGATGTTATTTTGTCTCGACCTCTTTGTACTCAAGATCGTTGTAAACTGGCATCATGGAACTTGCCACCAAATATTCTTCAGGTATTATTTTATGATACTTTAATTAATAAATATGTATATTTGCAATATAAAATATATATTGGAAAATATGCATTTTTATATTAAAATTTTTTTTAACTTGACAGTTGTTATCATTTTTCAGAAATACCTTGCTCATGGAGTAGACTGTATGTTTCCATGGCAAATGGAGTGCTTGTCAATTCATCCAGTGATGCAAGAAAGAAAGAATCTTGTATATTCCGCACCTACATCTGCAGGAAAAACTCTTGTTGCTGAAATTTTGCTGATTAAGACTGTAATAGAAAGGAAGAAGAAAGTGATTTTTATTTTACCATTTGTTTCAGTTGTTAGAGAAAAGATGTATTACTTCCAGGTAAAACATGTTGCACTTAAATTGTTATATATTATACTTTAAGACACAAAATATTTCTTATAGTAGTTGATAAATTTGACATGCAGGATTTATTGTCTGACATTGGAATAAGAGTGGAGGGATTTATGGGAGGAATGGCACCATCTGGAGGATTTGCTGCTACACATGTTGCAATAGCCACTATAGAGAAGGCAAATTCTTTGGTGAATCGTTTAATGGAGGAGAATGACTTGAGTAGCTTAGGAGCTGTGATAATAGATGAATTGCATCTACTTGGTGATCCCAATCGTGGTTACCTTTTGGAATTGCTTTTAACAAAATTAAAATACATGACTATTCGGTAAGTTTAATATATATAGGTATATGTATAGGTATATGTATACATATGCCTATTTGATTTGGTAAATTTGCTAACATAATTGCAATATACAAAATAATTAAATCTCTTTTGTAATTTCACGTTTTAGTAATGATGACATCAATATACAGCTGATAGGCATGTCAGCCACATTGCCAAACTTAACTTTGTTAGCCAAATGGCTAAATGCAGAATTATATAAAACTGAATTTCGTCCTATTCCTCTGAATGAATGCTGTAAGGTAAGAGAAGTATACATAAATATGTGAAGATTATTTGCTTAAAAACATCTTGAGATTTTAGATATTTTTTAAATTATATTTTTAAGATAATTTTTACTTCTAGATAGGAGCAAATATATATGACAACAAATTGAATCTTGTCAGAACATTAGCAGAATTAGCAGAATTAGGAACAGATGTAGATAATATTCTACAGCTTTGCATCGAGACGATAAGCTCTGGTCATAGCGTCTTGATTTTCTGTCCTACAAAGAAATGGTGTGAAAAATTAGCAGAGCAAATTGCTACAACTTTCTTCAAGTTAGGTCCGTTTCAACTATTTTTCAATCAAACTTATATAAATGTAGGATTACCCTTTTTATCAATGCTTTTTCTATATTTTGATTTTATTCTTTTATTTTTTTCTGCAACCCTTGTGATTGTAACAATATATCAATTTTCGAGTAGGTTCTGAAAATACAACGCTAGGAGAAATGTTGAAGAAAGAAATCAGCTCTACATTAATCCATGAAACTTTAGAACAATTAAAACGGAGTCCAAGTGGTCTGGACAATATTTTAAAGAACACGATTTCATTTGGCATTGCGTTTCATCATGCTGGACTTACTATGGATGAGCGTGATATCATAGAAGGAGCTTTCAGGTAATGATTATTTCTTTTTATTTATCTAACGTAGATCTTCTGTCGTATTTCAAATTTGGCATTATTATTCCAGAACAGGGTCCTTGAGAGTCCTTATTGCTACGTCAACATTAAGCAGCGGAGTGAACTTACCTGCGCGAAGAGTAATCATAAGATCTCCTTTATTTGGTCGCAGTTTGTTAAATACTTTAGCTTACAAACAGATGATAGGACGTGCAGGCCGCATGGGGAAAGATACTGCAGGTAAAAGAAATTGTCTTCTATACGTGTATATTAGATTTTAAAAATTTGGAAGTTGTTGAAAGATATATGAAAAAGAAAAAAATGCATTACATTCTGTTCTTATATAAAATTGTCTCCAAGCTAGATTATCAAAATTAGACTGTTATTATCCCTTAAAAATATAAATAACGATAATTTCAATTTTTCAGGAGAAAGCATATTAATATGCAAGCCAAACGAACGTAATTCAGCTGCATCATTGCTCTCCGCAACTCTGGATCCAATTGAATCTTGTCTCAATGATTCCACTCTGTTAATAAGAGCACTCTTAGAAGCAGTAGCTAGTGAAGTTTTGTATACAGTGGAAGATCTAGAACTGTATATTAGTTGTACTTTGTTAAGCTTGAGCGATGAGTCTGATGTACGGATTTTTTCTAACGAGGCGATGAAATTCCTGTTGGACAATGAATTTTTATTGTAAATACACAATTTAGCTATTACAATTTTCTTCGCGATATTGAATGCCATTTAACAATTGTCTTGGGATTAAGATCAATTTATATAATCTTGCCATTTGCAGATTACAAACTACAGAACGAGAATCTAGATGGATAGCAACGGCCCTTGGGAAAGCATGCTTGGCAGCGTCTGTGCCTCCTAGAGAAGGATTATTTCTGTTTGAAGAACTGCAGAAAGCAAGACGATGTTTTGTTTTGGACACGGAATTGCATGTGATATATTTGGTGACCCCACTGTCTTCCGGATGTCAGATTGGAAATGTCGATTGGATGACGTTTCACGAATTATGGAATACCATGTCGGAAAGCGAGCGCAGAGTTGGGAAACTTGTTGGAGTGGAAGAACGTTTTCTGATGTCGGCTATCAGAGGAATTGTTAAACCTGGAAAATTGGTAATTGCTGTTTGTTAGAGATATTTGCGAAATCTCTTTGTCGAATCAGTGTTCACGCTGGTTCAAAGCATTTCTAATGCGAAAATGCTTTGTATCGCAGTTGAACATACATAGACGATTCTATAGTGCATTAGCGCTGCATGATTTGGTTAAAGAGGTCCCACTTAATGCAGTCTGCAAGAAGTACGGATGTTGTCGCGGAGTATTGCAATCTTTACAACAGTCTGCTGCTACATATGCGGGTAAATTTATAAGATTAATAAAATTAACAATGATAATTTTATTATCGGGGCGACTTTTCATAATAACAATGAATTTCATTTTAGGTATGGTCACACAATTTTGCAAACAGCTAGGGTGGGATTGCATGGAATTATTGGTCAGTCAATTTCAAACAAGATTGCAATTTGGCGTCTGCAGAGAGCTGCTAGATTTGCTGCGTCTACCGATGTTAAATGGGTTGCGAGCAAGAAGTTTGTATAAGCAAGGAATAACATGCGTAGCAGACTTGGCTGTTGCTAATGAACTTAATGTCGAACGTGCGCTCTATAATGCTCTGCCTTTTGAAAGGTACGAATTGTTATTTCTATATAAATTATCTTTCATATATAAGACCTATTTATACGCTATATTTGATTGTAAACGATGCTGTTTTGCTCATCTCACACGAAGATATATAATGTTGAATTAAAAAGTACATATAGTTGTATTTAACATTATATTTAAATATTTATATATGTGTTAGTGAGAAAGAATACGAAGGAGAATATGCACTTGAAGCCGAAAAAAGAAATAAAATAAGGACGGTGTTTGTAACTGGAAGAGATGGCCTCACGCCCCAACAAGCTGCGATTTTATTGGTTCAAGAAGCACGGATGTTAGTTCAGGTTCGTAATTCTCACATTTTATAAGTATCCTTAGTTATTCATTTAAGTAAAATAATTATTACACTTGCAGAAAGAATTAGGACTCGAGCAATTGCAATGGGAGCAAAACGAGCAGTCTTTGCAAGTAAATACACATATTGGAGAAAATATTGAAAATACGCCCAATACGAAAGTACAAATTCGAACGGAATTGGATATAAAAAATTCAAAATCTCCAAAAATAGAAATATTCATAGAAAACTCAGTACACGAAAAACCTGCCAGTAACGAAAATAAAAAAAATGACAATCCGAGATCTGATACGTGTAAAGAAACCAAGGTTTCCAATAAGAAGAACACGATTGAATCAAACAATCGGGATTTAGATAAAGTTAATTTATCTAAAATTGCAGATGATGATAAAAATTCGTCTTTCTTGCTAGATTTA